GTCCCCATTGGAGTCCCTCCTTACATCTGATGTCCCCATCAGAGTCCTTCGAAACATCATAGTCCCTCCTTACATCAGGTGTCCCTCCAGATATCAGAGTTGTGCCCCCTCCCACACACACACAACCTTTTTCCTCTTTACTCACAAATCACAACCTGCAAAAAAGAAGCTCCTTCTTCCCCTCTCCAATCATGTGGTAGGTCACATGACAAGTGGTGAGAGGAAGAAGGACTGTCTTGTCCACAATATAAATATACGGTAAAAGGAGTGGCGCATGCAAAAAACTGATAGTTGGAATCTCTGGGGTATCATCCCATATATATATATCGATAAAGACAGGTAATTTGAAGTGGGACTTTAACCAATTCAATATCGGGGACTTTTACCCCCTTCCTGCCCAGGCCATTTTTCAGGTTTCAGCGCTCTCACACTTTGAATGACAATTGCGCGGTCATACAACATTGTAACCAAACTAAAATTTTATCATTTTCTTCACACAACTAGAGCTTTCTTTTGGTGGTATTTAATCATCGCTGGGGTTTTTATTTTTTGCTAAATTAACAAAAAAAGACAGAAAATTTTGAAAAAAAAACCCACGTTTTTCTTTGTTTCTGTTATAAAAGTTTGCAAATAAATAATTGTTCTTCATAAATTTAGGCCGAGATGTATTCTGCTCCATGTCTTTGGTGAAAATAACCCAAATTAGAATGTATTTTTTAGTTTGTAGGACAGTTATAGAGTTCACAAACTATGGTATAGATCTGAATATTGATCAATCCTGAAGTACTGACAGCCAATCTAATTTCTTGAAATCCAAGAATGTCAGAACAGTACAGATATCCCCCAAATGACCCCTTTTTGCAAAGTAGACAGTCCAACTTATTTCATAAGAGGCATGGCGAGTTTTTTGAAGTTGTATTTTTTTGTCATAATTTTTCGGGAAAATATAAAAATTAAAAAAAAATTTTCACTATTTTTTTTTTTACATACTGTCACCAGTGCAGTACAGCATCGTCATATAACTGGCATGGCAGTGATCAGGGACACTGACATGCTGACAGTATGAAAAAAAAAATATATATATATTTTTTTTTTAATTTTGTTTATTATTTTAAATTTTTTATTACATTTTTTTTTAAGATTTTTTTTTTCATATTTCACCATGTCCAAAGTAGTACAATGTTACCATAGTAACATTGTACTACTTTGGGGAAGTGATCAGTATTTTTTTTTTTTACACAATTTGCTTATAGCAAAGAATTACTTTGCTATAAGCAAGCATTTACCTGAATCACATTGATTCATTCAGGGTTTTTTTTTTTGTTTTGTTTTTTTTTTGTGCTTAGCTGTGATTTGGCCACAGCTAATCACATGACATGTGCATGTGATCGCTGTGACCATTCACAGCTAGACACTAGTATACAATGGATGGCATGAATGAAGCCATCCATTGTATACAACTGTCATGTGACCTGCTGTGATTGGTCACAGCAGGTCACATGGTACCAACAACAGAGGCCAGTACTCAGATCTGTCATTGGCCGTGTCCGAGGTACACGGCCGGTGACAGATCGCGCCGCTGCGCGGCTCTGCAAGCGCGAAAACTGCGCATGCCCGGGAGGACGCCATATGCGTCCACCCAGAAATCTACAGCATTTTCCCGGCCGCCAAGCGGCTATTGGTTGAATATACCTCCGAGGTTCACAGAGAGTTGTTTTTGTACAGGCAAACAAAGATATATATAAAATTACAAAATGTATTGGATTGACATATAAAAGAAACCACCTATAGGTACAAACATCTTCCTTGAATATAAAATGCATCCAATGATGTAGGTCGGCACATTTTGCGGATATGCTCGCTTCTTCAGGACCCAAGAGTCATTTGCTTGAAAGTATACATGCTTTGGAGATTTCTCTGATTTAAGTAAGTTAAGAGAAGCAAATAGCAGTGAAGAATACATTTTGAACAAATAAATGATATACATATATCAAAAATAAAGACCCTGTCTATGTGACATAAAGTGAGCCAGTTAATATAAAGCATGTGTATAAGACATATATTATATCAAACATACAATATACAGTAGCTATATATTGTACAATACTCTTACCCCTGAGATAATAGGGATAAAATATCAGATGGGAAGGATCTTGAATTATAGGTGAAATATATGTGTCACTTATACGTGCTTGCTGGCCCAAGGGAAATCACCCCTGAAGACATCAAGGCCCCCAAAGATGAAATGGAAATTGTATGTATTCTCCAACACCTCAGGAAATGCACAGCCAAAGGGAAGCCAAGGGAACCAGGACAGCGTCAACCAAAGGAAATGCTTCAGGGGTGCAGCTCTCCTCAGATGGGGAGATCAGCCACTGGATAGAGAATAAACAGGTGGCGCACACACCTAGTGCATTATCCAAGGTTTATTCAAAGGTATAAAGGATAAAAAAACATACAGACGAAGCATGTATCTAAAAAGCATTTGCATAATGAAGATGGCCACTGTCAGTGCGGTCAAATGACTGATGCAATTCGGGGACAAGTTCCTTTCTTCAGAGCTACTGACCAGCCTCTTGTGCAGATGTGTAGTGAATGGATGATGGGAGCCCTGCTGGTGATGCCTTTGGCAAGGCTCCCATCATCCATCCACTACACATCTGCACAAGAGGTTGGTCAGCAGCTCTAAAGAAAGGGATTTGTCCTCGAAACGCGTCAGTCATTTGACCGCACTGACAGTTGGAACACCTTGCTTTCCGTTGTGTCCATCTTCATTATGCAAATGCTTCGTCTGTAAGTATGTTTTTATCCTTTATACCTTTGAATAAACCTTGGATAATACACTAGGTGTGTGCGCCACCTGTTTATTCTCTATGATATAGAAATTCTATGGAGTAATCATATAACAAATATAAATAAATATAAAAAGTACATCCAAAATTCTATAGAAGAAAAAAAAAAAAGGGTACATAGTGCCATTATGTGTCCATGAGCCACTCAGCCACACTATATACATACCCAGTATAAATCAAAAGGAACTTTCATATAGGACGCAATTATATGACGGCCGTTGTCCCCAGAAGAGGCTGGGACTAAGTCTCAGAAAGATTAAAATATGGGTATCGAAAAAGTTCAAGAAAAAGAGGTGTCTACAATGTCTATATATTGTTCAATCTTACAGTAATAAACATGCAACCCTCAAAATGATAGGGGGTCAAAAAGATGTAACACTTTACTAGAGAGGAGTGGTAATATTAAATATAAAACCCCAATGTATGCCCCATGGAAACTAAGAAAATCTATCTCAGACTGTAATGGAAAATCAAATGTATCCACAATAGAAATATAAATTCAAGATGGTCTGCAAATTCCACTCTAGATATCTACAGGGGACCAAGAAAAAGAATCCAAAAGAAAAAGGAAGCCATCACAGTCTGGAAGGGATATATAAAACCAAACATGGGTGCCACCATAAGTATAAACGCTTTACCTTACTTCAGGAGACATGAATCAAGCTGCCATTATGCAATGAGTGGAAAAAAAGAAATGACCAGCCAGGAGCCTCAAATATATACAGTGGGAGGGTTCTGGGGGCCGGCCACATGCCGCGGACACACTTGGCCCTCATTTGAGGTTGTCCACAGCCTGTAGGCAGTCCCCCAGAACCCTCCCACTTTGGATTCTTTTTCTTGGTGCGCTGTAGATGTCTAGACTGGAATTTGCAGACCATCTTGAATTTATATTTCTACTGTGGATCTATTTGATTGTACAGTACATTACAGTCAGGTATTTTTTTTTTAGTTTCTATGGGACATACATTGGGGTTTTATATTTAATATTACCACTCCCCTCTAGTAAAGTATTATATCTTTTTGACACCCTATCTTTTTGAAGGATGCATGTTTATTACTATAAGATTGGATAAAATATACACATTGTAGACACCTCTTTTTCTTGGACTTTTTAGATACTCATATAGATGGTTTCTTTTATATGTCAATCCAATAAATTTTGTAATTTTATATATATCTTTGCCTGTACAAAAACAACTCTCTGTGAACCTCAGAGGTATATTTAAAGTCCCACTTCAAATTACCTATCTTGTCCACAAGTCACTGATATTGGGATGACCCACTTAGAGGGTGAGTTTGAGTTGCCTGTAGGCAGGTTGCCTCCAATACTCAGTAAGTTCTGGCTGGCCCAGGAAAGGGTTAAATCTTTCAGTCCTTTTCCCAGTATTTTTGGTCCCAGCCTACCCGCCCTGTGCTGCAAATGTAAGGGGGAAGGCCAGGTGCGAGAAGCGGCTCCTTTTTCTCACATGCATTGCATCTGTATATCTGCTGTTTGTGTCTAGTTCTGTATTACATGGTCCCTGATAAGAAATTTAGTGACACCGCCTTGTGGAGGGGGCTGCTGGGCCCTGCAGTCTGCCCAAAGATGCTAACCCATTACAGCACTGCCAACCATGGACTCTCACCAGTATTGACCTTTCTCTCTTCTAAGGTAGACCTGGGCAGCCGCCAAACAGTCAGACAGAGTTAGGACATTTAAGGAACTGCACATTATTCTGTTGCACTACAACATTTTCAGTAAAGTTTGTTAAATTTGTTCTAAGCCTAGTCTGAAGTTACTAAAGGGGTGTATGATGGTCATATGGCAGACACACTACACTACTTGGGTCAGTTAACTAGTTGCCGACCGCAGATAGCCGAATGACGGCTGCACTGCGGCCGGCCAGTTCTGGGTGGACGTCATATGACGTCCTCCCAGAACGCGCTCTCCTGCGCTCCCCAGGGGGCGCGCACCCGGAGATCTCTGTGATCACTGTGTCCTACGAACACAGCTGATCACGTGATGTGGGTAAAAGGCCAATCACAGCGGCCTTTTACCACGTGATCAGCGGTGTCCAATGACACACTGATCACAGGGAAATGCAAGTGCCGGTTCTCGGCTGCACTTTCCTCACGCTGTCAGATTGTGAGGAAAGTACTGCCGAGAACCGGCAGATGTCAGAGCGGGGATCGGCACCGATCATCAGGGCTCTGATGATCAGTGCCCTGATAATCGGTGCCCAGCAGTGACACCCGCAAGTTCCGCCCAGCAGTGCGCCCACTAGCTCCGCCCACCTGTGCCCAGCAGTGCACCCACCTGTGCCCAGCAGTGCACCCACCTGTGCCACTCTGCAGTGCCACCTACCTGTGCCCAGAAGTGCCACCTACCTGTGCCCAGCAGTGCCACCCACCTGTGCCCACCCACCTGTGCCCACCAGTGCCACCCACCTGTGCCCACCCAGCAGTGCTGCCCACCAGTGCCACCCACCAGTGCAGCCCAGCAGTGCTGCCAGTCAGTGCCACCAGTCAGTGCCCAGGGGTTGTGCCAGTCAGTGCCCAGCAGTGATGCCAGTCAGTGCCGTCTATCAGTACCCATAATCAGTGTCACCTATCAGTGCCGCCTATCAGTGCTGCATATTAGTGCCGCCTATCCGTGACCCCTAATTAGTGCTGTCTATCAGTGCCGCCTATCCGTGCCACCTCATTAGTACTGCCTATCAGTGCCCTTTAGTGCTGCCTATCAGTGCCGCCTATCAGTGCCCATCAGTGCTGCTTCATCAACGCACATCAGTGAAGGAGAAAAAATACCTGTTTGAAAAATTTTTATAAAAGAAACAAAGAAACTTTTTTTTTTTTTTCCAATTTTTTTGCACTTTTTTTATTTATAGCGCAAAAAGTAAAGTGCCCAGTGGCGATTAAATACCACCAAAAGAAAGCTCTATTTGTGAGGAAAAAAATGATCAAAATTTCATATGGGTACAATGTTGCATGACCGCGCAATTGTCAATCAAAGTGCGGCAGTGCTGAAAGCTGAAAATTGGCCTGGTAAATAAGGGGGTATAAGTGCCTGGTAGGCAAGTGGTTAAAGCACATAGAGAGTATGGCATAAGTTGGTCACAAGAGGTAACAGCATGGGAGTGAAGGAAGAGAGTAGTGGCTACAGGTAACCAAAGGACTGGTGTCAAATAAATAGCTGCCTGTCATAAGCTTGGTACCTGGGTAAGGTAGGTGTCCTCTTGTATCGATGGGGTTAATGTTCTGGCTCCCTCTCCAGCTGTCCATCCCCCATAGCAACTGGGAGTAGATCAGCATACGGAGACCCTCAGTCTCACCACATGGTATGGAGAGAGAAGAAGAGGACCTAGTCGAGTGACCGAGGTGTGCAGTGACATGGGACGCAGCACTTCACAGAAGAAATCTGTACATTTATTCTGGTCTGGGGCCTGCCTTCAAGTTGGTTTTACCTGAATGCGGCTGCCACCTTGTCCCAGGGCATTGATGAGCACATGCATGAAAAGGTACCCCATGTGCAGGGCGAGTAACCCTGCCCACACTGGCTGGCATAGCCCAAGAACCTGATGAGCTAAGTTACCATAGGACAGCTGGACACCTTTCCCCCAACTTCCTCCTGGTACTCTCCAGTGAGCTTTTCCAGATCCAAATGAACTCCAGGACTACACTTTGTGAATAGGCCCCCCAGCTGAGATTTTGATGTCTTCTAGACAGCATTTCCAGTAATCCTGTCCCAGGAGCAGAGCCCCTGCACAGGTGTCTCAGTCTGCAGGACTGGACCCAGGAACTCTGCTGCTCCTGTCTCAGGCTCCAGACTATTTATGGCAGGGGAAGGCAACCTTAAAAAGGTGGTGATCTGCCTAAACAATATGAGAGAAGTCAAAGATCACTGGGCACAGTTTCGCTTCCTCACACCTGATTTAAATTGCCTTACTACTGTGGCGCAATTGCGTACATTACAGCAATCATGGGTTTAAATCAGGTGGTGAGGAGGCAACATATTGCCTCCTCACCACCTGTCAAACACACTTGAATTGCTTTTCAGAGGAGCAGCAGTGCCTTAGGGCTCTTTCACATGTAAATTTTGGGGGTGGTAAAATCCTGTGGTTGAGTCATTTACAGTGACAAATGTAGCACCCTTCTAATTAGATGCTAGTATAGGTGTTGATAGGTGAATTTTTTTTTTTTGTTTTTTTGGGCTCCTGCATTCAGGAGTTTTGGTGTGCTTTCAGAAAGTGCACCAAACTGGCAGGATATAATAGAAGTCTATGGCTAAGTGCAGCAAACCCACAGGAAAACTGCTGGTACATTGCACTGCACCCACATTTTGTTTATTTACCTTTATTGCTATCACAATTGATGAACAACATCCCTTGTGATTGCTGGGGTGTGACAACTACACTTTATTAAAGTATACTTTGTTGAGAGATCTGGGGTCTTTACGACCTTTGATCCCTCCTGTGCTCTTCAAATCATCTGACTGAACCAAGATCATTTTTGTTCTAATAACAATATGTATAAATACACAGATAAATATCATCCTCAGTTTTCGGGTAACATGCACTTCAAAGTCCAACACCACTTAACCCCTACCCCAAGCTTCCCTCTGACATTTTATGTACATTTCTTTAGTATACGTACCTGTATTCTAGATGTGTTCTCTCCTTTACAAGATGCTTAAGGTTCTAGTCTACCCTTCAATGGTGGGTGGTCCTGACTCCTATACCGAATATTGACATATGAACACTATTGCTTACAGAACTGTGAGTTCAGGGTGGTATTATGGTACAAGTAAAAACATTTTTTAATTAAAATAACAAACATGTTATACTCACCTGCTCTGTGCAGTAGTATTGCATAGAGAGGCCCCCATCTTCCTCTTCTTGGGTCCCCTGGCGGCGATCTTGACTCCTCTTCTTCTTCGTGTGTCCCCATAGCAAGCCACTTGCTATGGATGCACACAGTGTCTGCGCGCTCCCGAGCTGTGTGTCTATGGAGCTGCGCTTTTTAGAGTTACACAGCGGGACTTAGCCTCACCCCCACGTCCTTCTTACTGCATTTGAATGACTGCAGCAAGCACCAATGGCTCCTGCTGCTGCTCCAATGCTGTATGAAGAGGAAGAAAGGGGAGAAGAGATGCAGTCGTGCACAGCTCTGGAGCTATTCTCCCCTCTCTTTCCCTTCACACAGGGAAGAGGGAAGCAGAGAAATGTAAAACAATTTTTACCTTAATGCATTAATAATGAATGCATTAAGGTAAAAACATTTTTAGTTTTAGTATCACTCAAAGGCAGGGCTTAAAATTTCAAGTCCTTAGCTACTAGCAGGCCTTAAGAGTTACTCGCCACCAGTTGCCCCACCCAACCCCTACCCTTTCCCGCCCCTAATTTCGCCCCCAAACACATCCTCATAAATTATCTCATGAAATGACACTGTGAAATGTTTTATGCAGAATAAATATTAACAACATATTTAATAATATTAACCATTTCAATACCGGGCAATTTTACACCTTCCTGCCAGGCCATTTTTCAGGTTTCAGCGCTCTCACACTTTGAATGACAATTGCGCGGTCATACAACACTGTACCCAAACTAAAATTTTATCATTTCTTCACACAACTAGAGCTTTCTTTTGGTGGTATTTAATCACTGCTGGGGTCTTTATTTTTTGCTAAATTAACAAAAAAAGCCCGAAAATTTTGAAAAAAAAAACACATTTTTCTTTGTTTCTGTTATAAAAGTTTACAAATAAATAATTGTTCTTCATAATTTAGGCCGAGATGTATTCTGCTCCATGTCTTTGGTGAAAATAACCCAAATTAGGATGTATTATTTAGTTTGTAGGACAGTTATAGAGTTCACAAACTATGGTATATATCTGAATATTGATCAATCCTGAAGTACTGACGGCCAATCTAATTTCTTGAGGTCCAAGAATGTCAGAATAGTACAGATATCCCCAAATGACCCCTTTTTGCAGAGTAGACAGTCCGACGTACTTCATAAGAGGCATGGCGAGTTTTTTGAAGTTGTATTTTTTTGTCATAATTTTTCGGAAAATGAAAAAATTAAAAAAATTATTCTCACTATTTTTTTTTTTACATACTGTCACCAGTGCAGTACAGCGTCATCATATAACTGGCATGGCGGTGAACAGGGACACTGACTGGTGACAGTATGAAAATATTATATATATATGAATATATATATATTTTTTTATTTTTTTAAATATTTTTATTATTTTTAATTTTTTATTACATTTTTTTTATTTTTTTTAAGATTTTTTTTTTCATATTTTACTATGACCAAAGTAGTACAATGTTACCATAGTAACATTGTACTACTTTGGGGAAGTGGTCAGTATTTTTTTTTTTTTTTTTTTACACAATTTGCTTATAGCAAAGAATTACTTTGCTATAAGCAAGCATTTACCTGAATGAAATCGATTCATTCAGCTTTTTTTTTTTTTTTTTTTTTTTGTGCTTAGCTGTGATTTGGTCACAGCTAATCACATGGTACCAGCAACGGGAGCTGGTACTCGGATCTGTCATCGGCCGTGTCTGAGGTGCACGGCCGGTGACAGATCGCGCTGCTGCGCCACTCTGCATTAGCGCAAACTGCGCATGTGCGGGAGCACGCCAAATGGCGTGCACCCGGAATGCAGCAACACTTTTGAAGCCGCCAAACGGCCATTGGCCGGGCAGCTAATGGTTAATAAAGCAATGTAAACACCTCCTCTATCCCATGTCTTTCTCCTTCTCCAGTCCTATCTCCCCCATCCCAGGTTCTCCTCTACCAGTCCCCCTTTACCATCAGAGTCCCCCTGTACCAACAGAGTTCCTTTTTACCATCAGAGCCCCCCCCCCCCCTCCGTACCATCACAGTTCCTCTTCACCATCAAAGCCCCCATGTACCATCACAGTTCCCATGTAACATCAGAGCCCCCCTTTACCATCAGATTCCCCATAGGCCATCAGAGCCCCCCTTTACCATCAGAGCCCCCCTTTACCATCAGAGCCCCCATTTACCATCAGAGTTCCCCTGAACATCAGTTTCCTTTTACCATCAGAGCTCCCCCTGTACCATCACAGTTGCCCTTCACCATCAAAGCCCCCCTGTACCATCAGAGTTCCCCTGTAACATCAGAGCCCTCCTTTACCATCAGAGTCCCCCTGTACCATCAAAGTCCCCCTTTACCATCAAAGTCCCCCTTTACCATCAGACTCCCCCTGTACCATCAGAGTCCCCCTGTACCATCAGAGTCCCCCTTTACCATCAGAGCCCCCCTTTACCATCAGAGTCCCCACTTACAGAAAGAGCCCTCCAGCTGTGCTGGAACTGTGCATGGCGGGGAA